ATCACCAGTGCAGACCCAGTGCTTGAACACCCCATCAAATTGCACACTCACCAAAAGCTGGTGAATAACCAGCATATCTTTGTTTATCCAAAACTCCACAGCTTAGCTCCAGCTTATAGATATCCAAAGCACTCCATATAGTACATTAGGTAGAAAAAATACTCGCCATAAAAAAATGTATTAACATAAACCCCCCCCATAAAACCGCACTCACATTGAGTCAAACAATTCAAGCATTTGTTGACATAGAAGAGCATCCAGCTCTGTCCACAGCATCTCACCAGCCTACCTGCAACCAAGATGGCGTTGTTGTGATCACGTAGGTTGGCGTGCGTGGTGATGTCACTGGTTAACAATGCCCTAACGCGTTTCGTCATACGACTTCGTCTGAGGGACATTCAAGTTGTCTACCTCAATATTACCATTTATCCACCCTGTCAGCATGCCAGCATGCCCTTTGCAAAAGGAGACACACACCAGTTTGTTGCACTGCTGTTTGGCCTATTTTCTGCACACAGAGTATTCAAAAAGGTACCTAGTCCTGAAGCATTCATCTCCCTCACAACTGTCTGCAAACGTCCAATAGAGTATACGTGTTCAGGTTTTTTGGTGTCTGCAACCTTTTTTTTTTTTTTTCCCCTCTTCGGGCAAACAAGTTTCTCTGTAAGGCAGGGATGAACGAATTCCAGGTCCATATGGCGAATAGAAATTGCATCTTGGTGTCTGGCTTCACACACTACCTCCTGTTGACTTCAATGCAAAACGCCTGTCAATAGCAATGCTATGTGAATACTTATCTTTGCTTGCCACTCCACTCTATCACTTGTGAGTCTGCAATGCACAACTACAAACTCGCACAGGACCCTTTTGTAACAGCATTCAAAACACTATGCAAGTGGATTGCTTCTGTGTTAACCACTTCAATAGGATCACAGAATATCTAGCTTGTCATGCAAATCTGTGAATTTGAAAACGCATCCAGGTTCGTGTGTGTGTGTGTGTGTGTGTGTGTGTGTGTGTGTGTGTGTGTGTGTGTGTGTGTGTGTGTGTGAACCAGTGTGGCTCCATTCACACCTGGGCATTTTGGGATCATGGCTGAATTGCTATGATCGCAAAACATTTTCAGTCGTTTTTTGCCATGCTTGTTGCGCGGCAAATTTCATCTCGTGAAGCTTGTCTCCCAAAAGTTGCCTTGCCCTGTGTGCTGACCAAAAAAAAAAACAAACTGGTTCCTAACTTTTTTTTTAGCTGGATCTTCTATTCAAAGCAGATTTGTCTAGCCCTGCTCTAAGGTCTCATGCTCAGACCTTTTAATATCCCTCAATCTCACCCTCTCGAAAAGACCCTTTCTCCAAGGATGCCCACTTGGGATGCAGTCAGATAATGCCACAGTAGCAGTCTTTGTCAATCTTCACGGGAGAACAAGAATCCATGTGGCCTTGAAGTAAGTGTGATCTCCTGGACTGAAAAGCACTGTCCGGCAGTATTTGATCACATTGCTGGAGTGGACATTTGGAAGGCATATTTCAAAATGTTATTACTGACTGGACCAATGGTTCCTTTTTTTCCTACACCGTTCACCTGATTTGGATGTAAATACCCTCAAATTAAAGCGGACAGTCTGCAGTTAAAGCACACATTGTTCATTTCATTTCAAATCCATTGTGGTGGTGTATAGAGCCAAAAATGTTAGAATTGTGTCGATGTCCCAATATTTATGGGCCTGAATGTAACTCCACTTTTGTTGAGGAAAAAAAAAATTTCCTCTGTTATCGAAGCACATTGCATGGATTTTAATAAACTTTGTTGTAGATTCCTACTTTTTGTTTTTCTGGCAAAATAGCTGTTTGTTTCTGTTTCCATATGCTGAGTGAATCTGTATGGGAGAGATTTCATAGCTATCATTCAGCTGCTGCACCTGCAGGGTTCTAATGAGGAAATTTGCAGGGTCTGCATCCCTTTTTAGATGGAATTTTCCTATTGGGAGTATCTCACCAAAAAGGATACTTTTTGTTGCAGGGGATGCCTAAAATCTGATTTGTATCTTAGTGCAGACTTTTCAGAAAATCATTAAGCCAATCACACAAGCAGGAAATATTGTTGGGGGGTCATTCTGTACACAATCTCTGTACAGAAAACCCCTGTTGCCATATTGCATTTCAATATACAGAAAATTTGAGCTCTGTAGAATAAAAAAGGTCATTTTTAATGATATTCAATTACAAGATGACTTGTCACAATTCTAATTAAAATTACATATATAAAATTCCCTTGAAAGTGGAGTTATCCTTATTTTTATTTATTTATTTATTTTTTTAATCCCAATATCTTCCACCTCCTACGTCAGCAGTTGTGGGACTCTAGATGTGGGCATCATGGCTTTCAGGCTCAACAGCAAATTACCCCTGTTTCTGGCCAGGACTGAGGATCCTCTAATACTGGCATAGGATGCTCTGGTAATTCCAGGGACTCAGATATGTTCATATGCCTTCCCGCTATTGCACTTTCTTCTTTAACTCCTTTGCAAAATGGAGGAAGAGAAGAAATCGGTGATTCGCATAGCACCTAACTGGTCTTTAAGAACCTGGTACACAAACTTGTAGGACATTACCCTTGGCCCCTCCCAAACAGGCCAGCTCTCCTGTACTATCCTACTTCCCAGTCACTGGCTTTAGTGGCATAACTTTTGAAACCCAGGTCTTGAAGGACAGGGCTACATATGACTAATTTCCTACTTTATTTAAAGATCGAAAAAAGTCTTCTAAAAAAATACACTGGCTTCTCTGATAATAGAGCATCTGGCTTTCGGATATACTACTAACTAAAAAAGCCTCTTGCTGTCTCGTGCTCGCGCTCTCACTTTCTTTCGCTCCTATTTTTGTTTTTTTTTGCCTTACCAACCGTGTCTTAACCTCCTCGGCGGTCTGATTATTTCCGATTTTTTTTTTTTTTTTTTTTTTTTTTTTTTTTTTTTTTTTTTTTTTTTTTTTTTTTTTTTTTGTGCTGAAAGCGGTACCATTTTTTGCATGGAAATATTTAGTTTTTTTTATTGTAGGCTGTAATTTTTAGGAATAACTCACTGAAATCTGTACGAACAAGAGTCTAGTAAACATCCCGGGTAGGATAAAATTTGAAACACGAAATCATAAATTATAATTTAATAATCATAAAAAATAATATAATAAATTTAATTCAATAATATAATCAAACCAAAAACACTGAAATTTGAAATACAGAGGCAAAGTCGCATATCGCTGAGCAAAGTCACAAAATCGTTTTCAGTGTCTGATGACGAATTTCCCCACAAATCATCACTCAATTCTGCAAGTGGTTCTGATTTACTATCGCTGTTCTCTAGCTGGTCTAAAACCGCTGTTGAAGTAAAGGGACGCTTTTTGGACGCCATGGACTTTTCTAAGTTTCCAGGCAGAAAGAACAGTCAAAATGCAGGCAGGGCACAGGACAAAGCAGTAGGGACAAAATTTATGTGAAATGCATTGAAACAGCAATGTTTTACTATGTAATAATCATTTTTAAAAAAATTCATATTTGCCGCCGGTTCCGGCGCCCGTACGTCCCGACGTTACAGGGACCGGAACACGGAAGCCAAAGGAGATGGCCCGGGACGCTGTAGGGGACACATCGTGGGAGAGAAGGACAAGGTAAGTGCTGCAGGGACTCCCTGAGCAACGCCACATGGTAAGCCCGAGTGTAGCTTGGGGTTACCGCTCTTGGTACTCAAATTTTACCCCGAGCTACACTCGGGAATACCGCTAAGGAGGGTAATAGGGAGCCATGTAAGGCCACCACCTGGTCTTCAGTTCATACATTCTCCAAGCTCTACAGATTGGATATCAAGGCCTCTGAAAATGTACTTTTGTAGGCAGGAAAGGTATAATATATTGCCCTGTTGGAGGCAGAATAGGGACATTCCAGGGTCTGACACTGGTGCTCAACCTGTGAGCCTTGGAGCGCTCTGATGTGGCCCTTGACCTCAAACTAGGGAAGCACACTTCTATTCTGTGGGGTTGGTGCACTTTCAGAAAGTTCACTACAACTGCAGAATGTAATGGAAGTCTTTGGCAGAGTGCTGCTAACCCGCAAGAAAGCCGCAGGTGCACTGCTCTGCTCAGGTAAACTAAAGTGCATCTGTATGTAAACAGTCTTATTGGGGGCTCATTTCCATTTGCGGTTTTGGGTAAGGGGTGGTAAAACCCCATACTTGAGACATGTTTTTACCACACACCCCTCCAACCCCCTCCCAACCACTGCTGTAGTGTCAGGGGTCTCAATGGCAACCACCTACCCATGCTCCAGGGGGCCATGCAGCCCCCTGTCGCGTTCTGTTTCTCCCCTGGAGAGAAGAAGTGGCATTAACAGGAACCAATACTCTCAATTTTCCTCCTTCAATAGCTGAAAGTGGGCAGCTTCTCCTCTTTCCCTCCAGCAATCATCTGCTGCATGAGGAAAATGTTCACTATGCTATTCAAAATACAAAAAAAAAAAAAAAAAAATGGAAGCAAATGAGCCATTTCATTGTTGCCTTTGAGTCGTTACCAAAGCACTTAGGTGGCCCTCGCTCTTAAAAGGGTTGACCACCCCTAGTCTAATAATATCCAACCTGTGTCCTGTACTGTGCAATAAAGATAAAAGGAATTTAGGCTTGCCTTTTTAAATTTTTATATCAGTACAGTACAGGACATTGGCGAACCTCTCCTCTGTTCCTGTGTTAACCTGCATTGCTTGATAAAAATGGAGTCCTAATGGAGTCAGGGCTATAGGGATATGAACTAGTTGTGGAGCGTGTCTAATAGCTTTGCCAATCACATGAATTAGAAGCCTATAATAAGGGGCCTATGAATATCTGACTATCTAGCCTGTCATGTACTATAAGATATGGAATTTACAAGTAGTAATAGCTAGTATTCTCTTCTGTGTTTGGATACTATGGTTGCCATGTAAGATGCCTTTTAAATGCCACTTTTTTTTTGTTTCTCCAGCAGTGCCATACTCTGTTGTATGTCTACAACTTGCCAACAAACAAAGATGCAAAAAGTATCAACAATCGCCTCAGACGCCTGTCTGATAACTGTGGAGGGAAAGTGATGAGTATTTCTGGCAGTAGCGCTATTCTCCGCTTTATCAATCAAGAGAGTGCAGAGCGAGCACAGAAACGCATGGAGAACGAAGATGTGTTTGGTAACCGTATTACTATTTCATTTGCACCTAAAAATCGTGATGTAACTGAAGCAAAGACCTCCATCTGCACGATTGGCGACAAATTAAAGTCTCCCAAAAAAGTAAATAAGAATACCAAACTGTGCCTCATTGCTAAAGATCAGCAAGAATCCTCTCAAAATGGCAAAGGCTCTGCCGGCAAGACTGCCTACAGCTCTGGGGGCAAAAACTCAAATGTGAAAAGTTTGCAGGTAAACCCCTTTTTGGTTCTTTCTTTCCTAAGGGTTAAAGTGTTACTAAAGTCTTGCTGTCAAAAACTCGGGCAGTCATGCTGTTCTGCTTCACAAGAAGCCTACCTTTCTGCTTGCAGTCTACTTTGGAATGTATACTGTGCTGCGTGCACAGCTCAGTTTACAATCTGGCACAGCGCCTAGGTGCCTGAATTTATTGCACTCCTGTGCATGTGCAGGAGTGACGTCATCCTGTGCTGGCCAATGAAGATTGCTGAAGAATGGCAACCAGCAGAAGCAAGCAAGGGACATGGACTGTTAATTGAAAGATAAGTTTAGCTCCACTTTAAGAAAAGCTATAACTCTTTTTTTTTTTTTTTTTTTTGCATCTAATAGACCTCTTACACAGTTTTAGGAAAACTGAAAGACATTACGTTTTTTTTTTTTTTTTTTTTTTTTTTTTTTTAGTGGCGCACCGAAATTAGAACTCTGGTGCTGAAACAGAAAAGTCAGGATACACTTGGCTGAAAACCGAAAGACAGTTTTTAAAAATGTAGTTTTCCAACGCAACTTTTTTTTGTTAAACCAATACACTTTTTAATGATTAAAAAAAAAATATGAAAGATAATGTTATGCCAAATGGATACCCAACATGTCATGCTTTAAAATTGCGTATGCAATTGCATACTTAAAACCATCATGAGTGACGCTTTAAAAATTTCCATGTTTACAAAATGTAATAAAGGCTTTTAAGCGAATGTGATACTTATTATCACATACTTTGATATGTTTTTATATCTGTTTTTTCCATATAGTGATTAGATGTATGATCTGTCATAAATCTTGGAAGAGTGTAACATTCCTATTGTTTGATGGATTGTTCATGTTTGATATTTATGCATATTTGGATATGTATTTGTTTGCAAAAAAAATAGGAAGAATGTCTTGGGTATCTGGATGCTGCAATTTATGAACCCAGAGGGAATTTGATGAAAAGAACAATCTAATGATGGGAAGCAAAGGAAAATAAACTTTTGTATAAAAAGTAGGGATCAGAGGTATGATCCCGGTACAAGTAGACTTGTGCATTGTTGAGTGAGGGGTTATTGAGTTAGATCTTAATTGCTTTTTACCAGCCAGAGGTAAGTTACGTAATGACGTCATTTGAGTTTGGATGCCTTCCCGCCAGATTTCTTCAGTTTCTTTTTATGTGTAACCACTTGCCATTCTGAAATGAGCGGAGTAGGCACTGCACATCTGAGGTCAGGGAGCGTAAAGTCTGAAATTATATTCCAGTTGAAGGCCTTTTGTCCAGATTCGAGATTCAATGAGTCATCCCATTGTGCGTGATGAGACTGGTGTGGTGTTTTCACTTAAATGGAATTTGGTGGTTGTGTAAGGCCTTAGTGATGGTAAGCAGGTTCTTTCGCTGCTGCATGGTAAAGCCTGAAGAAAGCGAATACTTGCAGTTTGATGTGATAAAAGTGAATGCAGAGAATAACGTCTCTGGGGATATTATCTGGTAGATGTGGCGGTTTAGGTAGACGGTCAACTCCACAAGCAGATCAGTGGAAGAGGCAGTAGGTAAGAGGGAATGGAGGAGATCTTGAACAAAGATGGAAAGTTGATCTGGAAGAACTGTCTCAGGAATCCCTCTGATATTTAAATTGTTGCAGTGTGATCTGTCCTCTAGATCCGCATTCATCCAGGTTATATCATCCTCTGTCGTTGTAGGAATCTAACGGAGTATTTAAATGATGATGCAAATTCCTCCATTTTAAATTCCACATAGTCCACCCTATCCTCTCTATTTCTAATATTTTTATGATATTGACGTACAGAGCGGATAAGGTCTGCTTGTCGTTAAGCTCTAAGGGAGACTATGATTTATTTTATGGTGGTATCCATAATAGGAGTATTTGTAGTAGGAAAGTTGGCTATACGGTCTGCATGGTTCCCTGAGTCATCTATACTATCGGAGGTATCGCTTACCTTGAGTTGTAGAAAGTGTTTGTGGTAGCATTCATTGCCATTTTGGGTTTAGTTTTCACAGGACTTCTGGTAGTAGGTGTTGAGGAGGCAGAGCTGGATAAAGACAGCCTGTCTGTTTGCAATCAAGGCAATGTGAGGGGCTGAGGAGAGAGCCTCTGATCACGGACTGCGCAAAGCTATGTGGCTGCCACCCTAGCTGCTGTCACTGCCTTGGTGGTGTGGCCTGAGAGCGGGGCCTCCAGCCCCATTTTGTTGTGTAACGCGACTGGCTGGGGCAAAGAAAGCCGACCGTTTTTGTGGCTGAGCCCGTTTTTTTTTCTGTTGCTGCTCATCACTGCAGGGTAAGGGACAGGTTCAGCTATGGTGTGGCTGGGTCTGTTCTGCCTGGGAAGGCTGATGAAGCGAGATCCTTCCGGCTGTAGAGTGGAGCTCTAGGATTATGCGTTCCTCTTTAAGTGCAGTCACCACACCAAAATTCCACTTAAAATGCTCAATTCCAGGTAAAATGCACAAGGAAGTTGGTTTACTATTTGGTTCTGATGTTTACACCAGGAGGATGTCCCCACTTTCTGTTACAATTCAAACCCAAAGCAAAATTTACTTGGCCAGGATTTGTTAAAACACTCTTCTCTGATGCTGGACCCACCCCCCAAAAACTTGCTGCTCTCTCCTGCTGCTACAGGTATTAAGGGTTGAATGACTTCTAGCGTCATTCAGTCCTGGGTGCAATTAACCACCAATTCTTTCAGTTGAACTGGTCTTTAGCCAATGTGCTGGGGGCGATCAAACAAATCTAAATAGACCAAAGTGGCGCCAGTGTCATGATGCAAACCTCTTGACTGCCTACGTGACTCCATGACTCTCACAAGTGTCAAGATATTCTTGATAGTAAAAACAACCTAAACCAAAAAGGAAATTCAAACGCCCAAATGGTGCCATGTAGGGGACAGTTGGCCAAATTGTAGAAAGTAGAAATTTGAATAATCATTTGCAATATAACACACTAAATAAGCCAAAGTTAAATTAAATTTTAATTTGAAAAACAAACTAAAAGAGCATTATTAAAGTATACAAGATGCCAAAACAGGCTAAATTGATGGAAACATTTAGGCCTGGTGAAATGTGGGGTCTTAGTCTGTGTATCAGCTACTGTCTAATTTCAAACATTGTCTACCAGAATCCCCTTCCCTGTTATAAATACAGTGCCATGAAAGTATTCATACCCCTTGAAATCTTCCACATTTTTGTCATGTTACATCCAAAAACAATGTATTTTATTGGGATTTTATGTGATGGACCAACACAAAGTGGCACATAATTGTGAAGTGGAAGGAAAATGATAAATAGTTTTCACAATGTTTTACAAATATCTGGTAAGTGTGGTGTGCATTTGTATTCAGCCCACGTTACTCTGTTACCCTCTAACTAAAATCTAAACCAATTGGCTTCAGAAGTCACCTAATTACTAAACAGAGTCCGCCTGTGTGTAATTTAATCTCAATATAAATACAGCTGTTCTGTGAAGCAGAGGTTTTACCAACATTATCATGAAGGCCAAGGAACACACCAGACAGGTCAGGGATAAAGTTGCGGAGAAGTTTAAAGCAGGGTTAGGTTATTTAAAAAAAAAAAAAAAAAAAATCCCAAGCTTTGAACATCTCACAGAGCACTGTTCAATCCATCATCTGTAAATGGAAATAGTATGGCACAACTGCAAACCTATCAAGACATGGCCGTCCATCTAAATTTCCAGGCCAGGCAAGGAGAGCAATAATCAGAGAAGCAGCCAAGAGGCACATGGTAACTCTGGAGGAGCTGCAGAGATCCACAGCTCAGGTGGGAGAATCTGTCCAACGGACAACTATTTGTTGTGCACTCCACAAATCATGGAAGAGTGGCATGAAGAAAGCCTTAAGTCCCGTTTGCGAGAAGCCTTGTAGAGGACACTGCAAACATGTGGAAAAAGGTGCAAGGCTATGTGTGGCCGAAAACTAACACTGCACATCACCCTAAATACACCATTCCCACTGTGAAACATGGTGGTGGGCACCCTCATGTTGTCGGCATGCTTTTCTTCAGCAGAGACAGGGAAGCTGGCCAGAGTTGATGGGAAGATGAATGGTGACAAATAAAGGGCAATGTTAGCTGAAAACCTGTGGAGTCTGCAAAAGACTTGAGACTGGGGTGGAGGTTCACCTTCCAGCAGGACAACAACCCTAAGCATACAGCCAGAGCTACAGTGGAATGGTTTAGATCAAAGCAAATTCATCTGTTATAATGGCCCAGTTTAAAGTCCAGATCTAAATCGAATTGAAAATCTGTGGCAAGACTTGAAAATTGCTGTTCAGACAGCTATTTTGCATAGAAGAATGGGCAAACATTTCACTCTAGATGTGCAAAACTGGTAGAGACATACCCCAAAAAGACTTGCAGCTGTAATTGCAGTGACAGGTGGTTCTACAAAGTATTGACTCAGAGCGGCTGAATACAAATGCACTCCACACTTTCCGATATTTGAGAACATTTTGAAAACAATCTCTTTCCTTCCACTTCACAATTATGTGCCACTTTGTGCTGGTCTATAGCATAAAATCCCAATAAAGTAGATTCTTTTTGGTTGTAACATGACAAAATGTAGAACATTTTCAAGGGGAATGAATACTTTTCAAGGCACTGTAGGTAGAAGAATACAATTGTTACCATCACAGTGAGCTTCCGGTCAAGAGGTGGTTAAACTAAGAGGTTTAGGAGTAGCAGGAGTGTTCGTATTGAAACAGGGATGTTTGAAGTTGCTGAGAATAATTTGTGAGAATTTCAGAAGACAAAGTAGGGTAGCCAGGCAGAGGAGTAATCAAGGAAGGGTTGATACCTGTCCAGGGGGCTGGAAGATCACAGCAATTCTTGGAGAAACAGGAGAAAATGGACAAATACAATGTGCCTCAGAATTGGAGAGCGAAGTCAGAGGTGAATTATCTGTTACTTGCTGTATGGGTCTGGATGAGTGAGTCCAGAGAAGGCCACCTTGAAAGGGAGAGCCATGTTTGTTGAAGACAGAATGGGCATTCCAGAGGGGGCAAGAGATGGGGACAATGGTTTTGGGATGGAGAGGAATGGAAACTAAATTGTGTGTATTGTGGCTGCTGCCAAAGGGTTTTGGGTGATGGTAGCATTGGGTACAGTCAAATGATTGAGGCCCAGAGTTTGGGGATAGAACGCCAGAAGTTAGGAGAAGCAGAAGGGTGAGATAATATGGGAGTGAGATTTACATGAAAGGACATGCCCCAGCGATCTGAAGGTTTTATTAGCATGTGGGTGTAGAATTAGCAGGAGTTGGGGAGTTCAGTAATAAGGAGAGGGCAAAATTGAGGGTGATATATCTAGATCTAGCCTATCCTGTGGACAAGAGAGGTGAAGGAAAGAATTTATGGAGAGAGGACACAGCTGTCAAAGGGAGTGGTAGCGAATGCATTTTACAGATGTAGAGCTGAACTGAGGAAAAAAAAAAGGTGCCTTTAGCCCTTTTTATGGTGTTTTTTTTTTTTTTTTTTCTAACGTTGTTTGCTATGTGTTTTTGCTTTGTGTAATCACTGAAGTGCATATCACTTGTGTAGTGCTACCCTCGTGGGGGCCGCTGTGTAGTGGTTATCCCCAAGCCTTGCTCCGGACAGCCAGGTAACAGGTATTTCTCAGACTTGCATCCAAAGACAATGACCAGTCCATGGGCTTGGTTTTGTTGTTTTTATTGGGGGAAATCAAATTCGATAGGGAAATGGGGATTATGGGATGCCCGGTTTGACTTGAATCCGTGAAGGGGAACACGTCCTTCCTATATATAAAGGCAGATCCTGGACTGTTCTTTTCCTGAAAGCCGTCAGTCGTTACAGATCAGTAGCAGCTGCCCTATGGGCAAGGAACTAGAAGCCCCTCAAAAAGCAACTTTACTTCTTGTAGCTACATTCAGAGATCTCTTCTCTCCCCCTGTAGAGCTGCTCCCAGCTCCACAGCCTTCAAACACTACCAGCCTTCCTGGCTTCTCTGAAGATCTCCTGAGACCACGATAAAGGATTGAGCCCAGCACTGTCCTTAGAAAGCTTGCTACGTGTGACAGTGTTTGTTTCCTCTTGTAGATCCCAGAGAGTGCTGCTGTACTCTGTCCTCTTTGCTGCTTACTGATCCAGATATTGATCCCATTCACGCCTCACTGCTGAATGTATCCTCCTGAGCTAGCCCGAGGCCAGCTCATGATTTAGGTAAGGCACTACAGAGCAACATAATGATGCAGATGGTAAAGACAACAACATACCAAGGCACATAGACACAGCAAAAGATATCAGTCAGGTTGTGAGTAGATGAAGAGCAGCAACATGCCTGTGCATGGACAGAGGATATGTTTAGATGAGACAGTTCAGGTTGAGCAAAGCCTGAAGGCCAACTTATTTGTATAAAGAATTGCTTGGAGAAAGAATTATGGAAAGAACCCTCAGCAATTTGTGGCTTGGGGCCCAGCTCTGACTTTAGGCAGGCCATACTTTTCTTAATTCTTGAACATGCTTACTATAGATTCCAACGTGTTAGATTGTGGAGGAGTTCTGGGCACTGGGTTTTGCAGAGGACTTCATTGTCAGGGAAACCCCTAACTTTCAAACAGCATCTTAAAACTCTGGCCTATTTTTGGTTGTCACTTCATCGTTGAACTGATTTTTAAAGGAGCACCTAAGCCCTTGATGTTTTTACAGCTGCTGTTGTTTGGTATCTGACTTTTTTTTTTTTTTTTTTTTTTCTTTTCTACAGCCAGTTAACCTCCCAGCATGTTATCCTATGTGTCCATGCACACAGACTAATCAACATTTTTGGCTGGTAAAAAAAAAAACCCCGGACCAGTGGTTTTCTAGAGCAATTTTGTAGCTTAAGAATGCTCCAACGCTGAAAACCGTAGCAAAATGCGGTAACACTCAGTAAACTGGCATTTTTGGGTGGTTATTTTTGACCAAGAAGAAAATTTTTTTGGGTCAAAAAAAAAAATGCTAACAGACGCCGCTGAACGCTAATGCAAAAGCGCTAAAAAAAAAAAAGCTGAAAAACTCTTTTTTTTTTTTAAATGTGACTTTACACAGCTAATATTACCAGCGTTCTCAAAACATCCAGTGTGCAAGAGGGCTAATGGTCTTATTTCAGTTAAGTCTGAGGGCTGTGAAGTATGGCCATCCTCAGGGATGACCAATCATAAAGACTTTTTTTTTTTTTTTCTTGTGCAGTTGGTCACTCATATGGCTTCCCCTGTCAAATAGCCTCTCCATTCTTGGGATTTCAATTTTGGTTCTTTGTTTTTATTAGTGCTTCAAAGGCCTCGCCCTTTTCATGTCAAAGCTTCACAAAGGCTGTTGGCCCTTCTTGGCTATTTTGGCATAGGCGTCAGTTTCCCAGGTTTGTAGGGTTACCACAAAGTCTTCTGTTATGTTCTACAAGGTAGAGGTTTTAGCCGCCTCTGATGCCAGCTTTGAGAAAATCTGAATGCTGTCCCTTGTTCTTGTTGGGGTGCCTATTTAGCCTGCGTTTTTCACCCTTCAGTTGTGCTGCATTTGGATGTCCTAGTTCAAGAATTCTGTGGCTTTAATGTACCATAAAGAAAATAGAATTTGTGTACTGGCTGTAAAATTATTTTTTCAGAGTCCATGAAGGGACATGGGTCCCATTCCTCTGGGGGTTTTGTGTTTTTTTTGTTTTTTTTTTAAATAAGCCTATGGCTCTTGGTACTGCTTGCTAGGAAACTGAAGCATGTGTATTGTGGGAGTGGTTATACTCATGCTGCCCTAGATGTACTACCTGTGTAATTTAGCTGAAGGATTTTACAAAATTCATTTTAAATGGGGGTACAAATCTCATAATACACATGGTATCCAATGATGTAAATCACCCAATGCTAATTGGTAGCAAGGGGCCATAAAAAAAATTTGGCTCATTTCTACTCATGATTTGGTGATCCTGCACATCATGACCTTTCAATTCATGAGAAGTGTGTTTTTAACATTAGGTCTGCTTTTACCCGCTTTGTGCTATATTTTTTAAATGTTTAAAGTGAATTTGTTTAACTTCTCGTCTCCCTCCTTTCAACAGGAGCTGTGCCAAATACAGTCCAAATCTTCTACCAAGCTAAATCAATACCCAGAAGACAAAAAGAAAAATGGAGATAGATTACACTGCACAGCAAGTTCTAGCAACACTTCTGTTTCTAGCCAGGTGTCTGTCACCACAAAAAGTGTTGGACTAGAAGACGTGTTTACAAATGAAAAAAAGTATGTTTGAGTATATCAATCTGGTTTAAGCTCCTTTTTAGCTTTGCTTAAAACCTCCCACCCCCAATAACTTTTTATTGATGTTTGCACATAACAAGAATACATAAACACGAGTGAAAAAAAGTGAGATGATTATCACGCTACGGAATAACAGAAAAAGCATATATACTTGTAGTAAAACCGTTTTACAGCCAGAAAATTATCAATTGTGGCCTTTCTTTATGATTAAGGGGTAACAAATCAGAGGTATCCTCACAAGGTTTGTACTAGGGATTACATTTAAACTTGTGAGAGTACCAAGTATAGCAAGCATTCCATTTTCAAATAATACATTGTAAGCGACCTTCCCTAGATACTATCAAATGTTCGTATGTACCATGGGTGTGCACTAGGGTGATAACTTCCTCTCTTGGAAAGAGGTTCTTGAGTTCTCCAGTGGCATGCTATGACTAAATGTGCCGCTAATAGAATGTGTGTTATGATGCACTATTTTGGTTGGCAGTTTTCAATATCTATGTTCGATATTGCAAGTTCTGGGGAAAGGGTTATAGGTATCTTATTGACATCTTTTATTAAGGAGGAAATAGTTTTCCCCAAAAATTTTTACCTTGGTGCATTCCCAAAGGATATGAAACAGGCTTCATTTGGCTCCACATTCTCTCCATCATAGAGGTGTCTTAGCTGGGTTCATTGTATGGATAACCGTTGGGGTGATGTACCAACGAAGAATAATCTTATGGCTGAGTTCCCATAAAGTTGCATAACGGGTACTGTTTGATTACGCTTTTGAAGGCTGTTAACCATTGGGAGTTTGTAAAAGTGCAATATTTGATTCCCATTTGGTAAAGGAGGAGAATTTGGTGAAATTCACTTTATCTTGTAGTAGATTATAGAATAGCGCACTGCCTCTTAAATTACCTTCAGCATTGGATAAGTACTTCCAGGCCAGGCTGTTTTATAGATTTTTAAAGCTAAGGCCTCTGAGTCAGACAGTGGGTTGCTTGGCTGTATTTATAGTGGCCGGAATGAAGAAGGGCATATTTTATCTTGCAATGTGGAGAAGGGTGTAATAGGCCAGTGGCTTTATAGATTACAAAGTTGAGTAATTCCCTTATCTAGCCAATTTTGGAAAGTTTAATGTTTGGGATAAGTGATTGGAGCACTTCAGTAGGGATGGGCATTTGAACCGGGGTCACGCCTAAATGCGCTTGTAAGAAGTATCGGAATGCTAGAGCCGAGGTTACAAGTGTGGGTGAGATAGATTTGTCTTTGTGTATTCGAGTCGCACTTATCAACCAATTAGAGATTATGGCCCTTGACTTGTAATGATTTATTGTCTTTCCATAAGCTAGTGATAATTGGCGTGAACCAGGTTTTAAATTGTGCCAGGATAGTAGCAATATAGTAATCTATGAAATCCACATAACCTGTGCCTCCTGCCGAACTATGCTTCACTAGCTTGTTGTGGGCACATCTAGGTTTTTGTCTTGCCCAGGGATGTTGAATTCCTATTGCCCGACGCCCAGGACATGTAGTTACGGGCGCTGGGCAGGTAGTTTTTTTTTTTTTTTTTTTTTTTTTAAATCTTCATCCCTGCTGTGGCTAAGCAGCAGGGCTCACCTGTCAGGTGAGAGCATTCGGGCGGCAGTGCTGCCGCCCAATTGCTTCCACACAGTGTCAGCCTCTCCGCCCCCACGTGTGAAGCTCAGCCCGCCCACTCTCTTATGTTCCGCTTGCCCGGGACCAGCTCACCACTGGTGGCTAGAGGGGAGGGAGAAGAGCCGACACATCCACTCCCCTCCTCTTCTTGCCCTGACCTGGAAGTGATGTTGTGATGTCACTTCTGGGTCCCTGTTGAGAGATTCCCAGCAATTGAGGCTGGGAAAGAATGTAATATGGTGCAATGTGTAGGTTCAGGGGAGAGACATCCAGGGTCATTATACATCAGGGATGATTAGTTTTACGACCCCATCTGTGAGTGTTGTACCCCCCCAGTCTTTTGCTTTGTCTTATCTCTAGTCTAATCCTAGTTTTATAACCGTGTGTGTGTGTGTGTGTGTGTGTGTGTGTGTGTGTGTGTTTTTCTGTTTTTTAATTTTTTTTTTCTTCTCCCCCTTTTTAACATTCTGCTAAAACTTTGTGAGGTAGTACTGCTTGAACCTTGAAGGGGACATACCCCTAAAGCTTGTCCTCAAAATTGTATGTTAGTGCAAATAAAACTAATAAAGTGTAGTTTTCCAAAATATGCACTAAAGGCATCCGCTATAGCTTGAGGGTTAGTAGATTTTTCTTTTGTGGTAGGGTGGAACAAATAGGGTATCTGTGGTTAGTACGATGGTCTTTATTTTGGTGGGCCAAGAATTTCCCCGCTCTATTGCTTGAGGCATAGACATTCTTAATCGTTTTTTTCAAAGCCATCTAGGAGGGATTGTAATTCTAATCTCAAGATGCCCAGTTTTTTTTTTTTTTTTTTAGGTCGGCACAGGGCTGTTGCTTATTTTGGGCATCAATGGTTTGAATTTCAGGTAGCAAGCTATTAATGTGTTAGGTCCCTCCCCCCCCCCCCCCAGCTCCTAATTAGAGAATTCTTCTAAGTGCTTCGCAGAGTTTCCCCATATGGAGTGGACTGTAGAAATTGTTTTTTCATCTGCCAGATGTAGATAGGATTAGATCGAGGGCTGACTTCAATAGTAGTGGAGACAGGCGAATGATTGGACTATTTGGCTGATAGGATTTCCGATTCCTACACTTTTTGTAATAGCCTTTGATCTGTTAAAAACAGGTCTATACGAGAGTGAGAGTTATGACGTGGGGGGAGAAAAGGTGTAATCCCGTTTCCCCACATGTTGGCATCTCCAGATATCATGACATTGAAATGTAGATAGAGGGCCCAAGAAAGGTCTGCTGTGCCTGGTAGATGGTGTTGCCCCTGGCCTCTCTACCTGGAATAAAACCAACCTGATCGTTCTTTGAGTGATGGCATTAGGGGTGAAAGACAATTGGTTAAGATTTTTGTAAAAAGCTTTAGGTCTACATTGAGTAGTGAGATAGCCTGTAATTTGTCACTTGGGTAGGGTCCTTTCCTTCCTTGGTAATCACTGATATGTACGCTTCTAGAAGACCTCGAAGACCAGTAGGTTTGTAGACCTGAGAGTTAAAGGCCATAGGAAAAGGGATAGCCAGAACGTTAAAAAAAAAAAAAAAAAAAAAAAAATTTTTGTAGTAGGATGCCAATGCCAAGAGGCCATCAGGGCCAGGACTTTTCCCAGTTTTAAGCTGTTTCAAAGAAAAGCTTTAGCAGTTCTACTGAGATTGGTCTGTTCAATGTTTGTGACCTATCTTTTTAGCGATAGGTTGGGGGCTGTGTTGTGTAAAAAAAAAAAAAAAAAAATCTGCGATGAGCTTCTGTCTAGAGGTTTGGTCTTGTCTAGTTACAGATTTTGTTTTCAGGTTGTAAAGGTCTGAATAATAACTAAAATTGAGCTGCTATGTCTTCTGTAGAAGCCAGTAAGTGGCCATCGGCGGGGATCTATGTGGTGAACTGTTTGCTTGCTCGAGCACTTGAATCTGAAAAAGCTGTTTTACCGCTTTTCATGAACAGTTTTTTGGAAAGGAAACATTTTTGTCGTACGGTTTGCTCTAATTCTTTTAGAAGTTCCTTTCTATCTGTGATAAGTTCTGGATGTGTATTCAAAGTGAGTGAATGTTTTTTGTATGTAATTTCCAACCCCCGAATACAGGTTGTTAAAGCGTCCAAGCAGACCTGTCTTTCCTTCCTTCTGTTTGCTGCCATTTCAATGAATTCCCCTCTAATTACACATTTTATGTGCTTTCCACATTGATATACGAAATAGTGCTTTTGTATTTTCCTAAGAAAAAAAAACTAAAAAATACTGAGACAAGGTGTGTGTGTGTGTGTGTGTGTGTGTGTGTGTGTGTGTGTGTGTGTGTGTGTGTGTGTGGTGTGTGTGTGTGTGTGTGTGTGTGTGTGTGTTGTGTGTGTGTGTGTGTGTGGTGTGTAGGATGTGTGTGTGTGTGTGTGTGTGTGTGTGTGTGTGTGTGTGTGTGTGTGTGTGTGTGTGTGTGGTGTGTGTGTGTGTGTGATCTGTGAGAAGAGAGGTTTCAAGATGCCACATTTTGGTGCACTGGTCATGTTCAGGAAAAGTCAAGGTCATTGTGATCTGATAAATCCGTTCACTGGTGGAATTTGTGAGAAATCAGAACTGAGTGGGCTTAAAATAAGTAATCTAACCTAGAGTATTTGTCTATGGGGTGCTGAAAGAAATAAGTTTAGTCTCGAACATTAGGATTAAGGCTTCGCGCTGTATCATGTTCCAAAAGATCTTGAAGGAGAAGATTAATACGTCTCAGGGCTTTATAGGGTATGGAAGTGGTGCTAGTAGAGGTGTCTAAGATGGGGGTGTAGGGGCACATCCCCTCGCATTATTATAACTCCTGATTGGAAGGTAGCGAATTGGTTTGCTAATGAGTTAGAGAGGTCTGTTTTGAGTTTGGGCAGTACAGGTTTGCTAAAGTGATTGGTCTGTTGTAAATCTTACCTATTTTACAAAAAGGAACCTACCCTCTGGATCTGCTAGGATGTTTGTGATGGAGAGCTGAAAGTGTTTGGAGATGAGGATGGACACACCTTTAGTTTTTCTAGATTGCTGGTGGCATGATGGACTATTGGGAAATGGTGGTTTTTCAATTTGAGTATGTGATAGGAAATGTGTTTCTTGGATAAAAACAATATCAGCTCTTAGTTTTTTCACCATCAGCAAAAGCTGGTACTGTTTTTCTGGGATGTTTAGACCATGTGCATTGGTCGAGACCAGTTTTACAATTTTCTGTGTTGATTTTTGTTTGATGTGGCCATTATATGAACGTGTATAGGGTCTGATCGATTTGAGCTTTTTTTTTGTTAGATGCTGTTTACTACCCAGCTGTGAGAAACAGAGGTTAAATTAAAGATGGGGGGGGGGGGGGGGGGGCGCTGATAT